GTGGGTCTAACAAGGCAAGAGCTCTCGCATCGTTGTCACCGCGCATCTCCAACGCAGCAGCAAAATAGACACAAAGAGTACTGGTGGCAATACGTGTGTCAGAGAATAAGATAAGACGCAAGGAACATCTCGTACGGATCCTGCCTCCTCACGCTACGGTTACCGTAGCTTTCGAAATGTCTCACCAGCCATTCAACATGCTCTAAACCTTCGGCTAAACGGATTGGGTAACTCCATCTGAGCTCGAGGCGAATTCTCCATCCTAATGGAACCAGAAATCAGAGTCGACAATATACGTGCTGGTAAGTCTACAAACGAGCATCATCGACGGTACGTTTGCGGCCTTGAGGGGGTCCAATCACGCCTGGCCAGTAATCTGGAACGATTCCCCACTCTTCCCACCTCACGGGATCATCGCCATCCAAGTCCTACAGATGACAGTGGGATGAGAAATTGGCAAGTGAAGGACTACTGTGAGATCCACCTTCACCAACTGGTTGAGATAATCTAGCAACTGTGTCTGCTCTTCTGGAGAGACTGGCAGACATCATAAAGAAGTGTATAGATGTCACGGTTCATTGGTCCTCATACATAAGGAGTTTGCTTACGCCTGCCAGGTTCCATGGACCATTGTTTAGGATGATCTTGGAAACCGGGTTGGGGACTGCGTGCGCTCTCGGGGATTCGAGGAGGACCTGTGGGGATTTGAGGAACAGTAGGAGATCCAGTAGGATGATTCATCGATGCTGTCAAGAACGTCGAGAGCTTGAAGGCTGCGCCCTTTTATATGCAGACGGAAACATTATTTACGTGATCAACTGTATTATGGCAGTATACCGGACGTACCAAGGGGTTTTTCTACCTACCTACCTTACATAAAATCTAGAAGTTTATATATACCTGCTACGTAGGCCTCCTCCCACTTCATCCTCGTAGGAACCAATCTTCAAGTAACCATGTTGCGATCTATCCCTCGAGCATTCTGTAGAACCCATGACCATTCCTCTTCGCTTGCGAATCCCAGCTTGATCCATCAGCGGCGTCGCAGTTGTAGCTGTAGCTGTGGCTTGTAGTTGCAGGTCAACCCTTAATTCACGAATGTTCCACAGGCTCACATCTGAGGAGAATGTTATCGGCGCAGGCTGCTTCGAGAGACACCCAGGCTTCATCAGAGGTGTAGCCACAGTCTAAGCGCCATGTTTTATTAAGTCGCCCACCCACTTACATATGTGGCGAAACTTGAAGAGTATTATTTGAATTTCTACTGGGGACGCTTGCCCTAATACTAGTACAGGTACACTCGATCCAGTCCCAAATAGGACACGATTACGAAGACAGTCGTTCGAAATATGTCCTATAGGGTGAACGACTATCATAAATAGAGGCTGATCCGAGTCTATAGTACAGGCGACGCACAAAAAAACGACGCGTGCCAAGGTTTTTGGTAAACATCGAAAATGACTACTAAACTAGTACCTCCGTCAGTAGCCTACTTGGGCCAAGTTGAGCTGAGGTCATGGTCGTTGGATCTATGATCTGGAGTTTGAAGTTTGAGAAATCACTTTTCACTCTCGCATTCAAGTTGATCAAAAGTGACAAGACATATCTACAAAAAAAATTGACGCGTTAATCAAAACACACAGAGATCATGCTTGGCCCACGATTTGCCCAACAGATATGTCCTAAAATGTAGGCATCAGCGTTCATAAAAGGCAATTTCTTGTAAGAATGCAAGGATCACGTACCCGAAAGTATGCAGAGTCCCCACTTTGAGAGAGACGCGTATGATAAGTACCATCAGCGCAATGCAGAACGTCAAGCTTCCCGTTTGAATGGTCAAACGAGTGAACTTTGACAATTTGTTGCGGGTCTCTGAATAGGTCATGCGGGATTGAGCATCGTGCAGCTGTGAGAGGAGAGGAAGCATTATTGGTGAGTCATGAACGCTTTTATACCAGTTGAACTCACGATGATCAACATAGACACAGTGATAAACAGGTCGGTGGCAGCCGTCGCACTCAGCCATACCTATTGAAGGACGTTTTGGCGAGAAGTCCTCTAGAGGTGATGTCGGCTTGGATACTTACTATGTTAAGCGTTGCCGTCTTTTGTTTAAGCATTGCGAGATTGTCAATTTGTACGAACTGTTTAGCTTACCCTTTAACATAGTGTGATTACAAATCGCAAAATCGGAGAAGCTCACAATGATAGGTATTGCCAGTGAACATGCGACAGCCAGAAGACTAACCTTTGTTTCTGGTCAATACGGTATTATTCGATTGTAGTAAATGTACTCACTAGCCCCGCAAACGCTATAGAAAGCTGGCCTAACAAACTACGTTTAACAAACATCCAGGTTCTCCGTAAGAAGAATAGTTGAACAATAAAACCCTCTATGCAAGATAAGGTGAACAAGAAGGGGATCCAACAAATAGGAAAGTAAGATCGAAAAATATCATGAGGAGACCCGAAAACTTGCCTAGCCCATCGAATAACGGTTGGAATACCAAAGGCCTCGGGGGAGTGCTTATCGCGCCGGATTGACCCCAGTGTTGTACAAAGTAGTAAGTGCCACAATAGGTCTCTACCGCAGTTTGCGCAATCGTTAAGAACAATGTTCCATATACTATGTGAAACACGGTCTATGAGCTCACGTACAGTACAAGTACGGCGAGTTTGCGAGATATTACCACAGAGCTTAAGACTCCATGGATCACGATAGGAGCGTGCATGATATTCATCTAATATTATAGATGTTTAATACGGTTAGCGGTTACATATCTTAGTTCGGAAGACAAACTGTAACATACAGGCCTGCACTATAATGATACCCAAAAGCATCCACGCTAAATTATTGCCATAGAACTAGGTGTCGTTAGAAGGCCTTCGGATAGTCGGTGGTGAGAAGACTCGGGAGACAAACTCACAGCCGGAGCGGTTCTACATATAAAATAAATATTAGAATTTCCTCGCATTGCCAACTAGACTGCGAAACCAGTTGAAAGTTACTCACGTAAGGCGATCGAGTGAGGTGACTGGAGGGTTGAAGTTTGGCATACCGCAGGAGCCTGTCAACGTCCTCGTCGACTTACTTATCGTTATAGACGGCTAAAGATCACCTCGGCTTTTGATATCCGCTACTACGGAGTGCATCTCCATGTACTCGCCGGTGCCAGATCTTCGTCTTGGCGTCGGCCTCCATAGGCTAGATCAGGTAGGAATTTGTAAGCTTTATTTTCAAACTGCAGCTGCTGTAGGATAGAAACAATATTCTTTGGTGGTTTACGCGACTGCATCCTCAAGGTATTGAACAACCAGGACCCGGTCACTACTTTTTCATAAAGGTTCATACGTACCAGTGGGTACGGGGAAGGCTATGATTGCGGTTCCGAGACCGATACGGTGTCCAGTTAGTTCCTGGAACTGATCGAGTAGTCATGTGTCTTATCTGCGTCATCACGAGGGCTGCGCGTCCTGCTGCGTCGTCGTCGTCCTCGCCCGCGTGGGTGGTTTGTACATCTATCTAGGTAAAATGTTTAATTAGTTCCGTGAACATCACATTCCTTGATCTTTCAGGCATTGGTAGGCCCGCTCACCCTCAGTCTGGTTGGCACTGTAAAAAGAGAACAAGCTAAAAAAACAAAGTTCCTTAGAGGAGCTGTTTTTATGTCAATCAGGACCGTTATTATCCATACTAGCTGTTTTCGAGAGTTGATCTTAAGAGCTGTTTTTTTTACCCAGTCCGAGTCAGGTACTTGATCTGATTACATCGTTACTGCCGAAGAATATTTGATTCACGCCACGAGGGCCGTTCAGGGGGCACAAAGATATTGCAAATATTAATGAACAGCGATATAAAACTGATGCATGACTAACATTATAGCACCTCTCTAAAAATATTACAGTATTTTATTCACCTGAGAAGAAAAAATCTAATCTTTTCTAGTTCGAGAAGTGTCTGTTGAGAGGGAATCTGATTCAGAGTTTTGAAAACAGAATGGCAATTGTGTCATGGCAAAGCCTAGGAGGCCTAACGCTAGTATGACTTCAGGATAAAACGGTAGGTGACGATAATTGGTAGATGCGCACCAAATCCCGTAAGTTTCTCGAACGGGGTGTGCCAGTATATACTCGTCGCGAAAGACATTATGAACCAGAGTCCTAGTAATGCTGATGCTACTGCCACGGTCGCCTTGTACCACATTGTCGTGGGTGCTGTCGAATTAATTAGCCGCCATGCTGGCTCCAGTTGATCGTGCAGGAACAGAACAGCGAGGGTGAGGAGGAAGATATGGCCAGAGACATCATGGCCTCTATACAACCTTGGATTTCCTGCCCATGTTGCATCTAGTGTGGATGACAATGACGTGACGAAAAGCGTTGGGTGTGTTCTCGGCGAGATCGTTGATTTGGTAAAGCAGTACTCAACCGGCACGGAGAGAAGGGTGGGAGACTGTCCTGGGACCTCTGGGGGAAGCTGGAGGACGCACTCGCCACCTGACGCGACAGCAAGACGCTCGAGAACGCCTGGCCCAAAGAACCATGCAGCAAAGATGCCCCATACCATCGTCGCAATACCCCATTTACCCCACGCGTCGCGTGTTCGGATATTTGATGGGCTAGAGAGCCACACTGCGGCGAATGCGGCAGATGTCCATCCCCACGCCTTCTTCACGAACAGAGAGTTGAAAATATTGCTCTTCTGTGCAAATATTGACTGGTGGTGTAGTGGATGTGGGAGGTGGGAGAGAAGTGGGTCGGATGTATCGAGATATGTATGATATACGACCGAGTAGAGTGTGCCGCCTAGTACTGCGGCCGATAGTAGTATCAATGGTGTAGATCGTGTCGAGCTCATTGCAGGCAATATGGACGTGGCAGCAGAGTTAAGAAATTACCTGATTGTTGCTCGACGTACGTCACCACACGACGCGTCACATTTTTGTTGGGGCTCTATAAGAAATGAATGAGTATTATTTTTCTAAATTCAATTTCTAACAGGGCGTTTGGTTTAGGGGTATAACATTCGCTTCGCAATTGTGAAAATGCGAAAGGTCCTGGGTTCAATTCCCAGAACGTCCACTTTTTCTATCAATTTTACCTCGTTAATATAGGCATCCCTCCTAGACCATCTTTCTATGTTCTAGCTTTGGAAAGATTTTTGTTTTTTACTTTTTTTTTACATAGTTGATGCTGTTGTACGCATGCGGAGTTTTAACACCAGTCCGTCATGTCCATAGACTTCGAGACGGCCGTCAAGCAAGAGGTGGCATACCTTTCCGCCGTCCATCCGACACCCCAAGACATACCAGGATGCATGTCCCTCCTCGACGAATTTTTCAGATGCAACGGTGCGCGTATCACCGTTCTATTCGTACCAACCTATCTCACTACTACAACCGTTGTAGTCCTCGGGAGCCAGTTCCGAACCATCTATAGATATGGCCATGCCGCGCACTGCAAAGGAAAATTTGAAGAGTTTAAATTCTGCCTGAGCTTGAAGGCCCTTTCCGCGGAGGAGAGACGGACGGAGTGGATTCATCGACGGGCGGAGTGGTGGGCTCGGAGAAGGCTGGATCAGAGCAGTGAGGATATCTGGAGTATAAGAACGTAAGACTCGTTGGGATTGACAGTGTGCATCAGCTGATTCCTCACCTTCGTCAGCGAGCCGTTGCAGAATTTTCCTCCCCCACCTACGAAAATATCTATGGACAGCGAAGATATTCGTATAACATGAATTGTCCCTACGTTTACCTAGGTACGAAATTCTATCGGATATGCTGAAATGGTACAGCTTCGAGAATAACACTCTCAACGTTGTTCCACTGCTCGTGGTGAGTGGCGAGTATATCCGTACCCACAAACGAGTGCACGAGAGGGGATAACATATCCAAACGCTCATACCTCTTTTCAAATTCAAAAATTAAACCAACTCCCAATATCAAATCATGGAGGCGTAGTTTCGTAGAAGACTCATTATGGTCAACTCTCCGCGCCATGTTTAGTCCATTATAACATGGAGTAGATCGATATCGGGAACCCCGATGGCAGCATGAACTCCCTAATGCGCGCTCGAAAATACCGTTTATTCCGACCAAATCAGCACAGGAAACTAATCGAATAATCTGCAGACCCTTCCAACCCTGTACAACTTGGGTCTTAAGGACGTTCCCATGAATGCTGTTGTCTTCTTTCCAGGAACCCACGGAACACTCTCGATCTCTCCGCGTCTGACTTGGGGTTCTCATGACTTGCTTTGTTCTCCCCGTCCTTACCTGGTCAACGCACGAAATTTTTTTCAATCCCATAGACCAACAATCCCATCTGTAAAAGATTTTTTTGACAGAAGTTATGGCGAAAATTTAGACTGTGGTCGCTCCTGCCGGTGCCCCTCTTCCCTCTCGAATTGGACTATGCCTAGATGGACGCTGGGCACTGCAAATAATCGACTATATCGTAAAGACAGCGTAAGCATCCGAGTCCGTTCCTAACTCACAGCCACATTGAACAAGAAGCTGCGAGATATGTAGATCGGGAGGAACACTACTGACTGACCAATTCGTGGGACCTCAGCGCAGGGAATGAGGACATGTCCTTTGGCTCTTTTGCTTACTCCATCCAGTACATTTCCTGCAGGTTGATGCTCCGTATAGTTGCCGGCACGCTGTGGTTGCCATCTTACTTCAAGCTGGGGCGTCAACGGTAAGACTACTCGTACATACTTTGTATCACTGTTTAAACCTCCCTATCTTTTGCACTCGGTGATGTTTTGACAGCCTTCAGCTTGAAGAAAGGGCGGCCATTACTCGTGTGCTGGTGTCTCTGCGTGGCGACCTAAGGCTACCGGAACCCGTCGCATCATGTGCTTTGTTTTGGATGCTCTCTAGCACATAACTAATCACATTGCAACCTGCCGCATTCACCTGTACTTGCTCTCGATCACCATCACCGACGCCGAATATCTAACAGTCTTTTACTCATCTGTTCTCGGCATTAGGCCCACACTCAGTACTCTCTCTGGATCGTGAAAGCGCAGGGACTTGCATGCATAGGTCGATAACTTTCGCGGGTAAGGTGATAAGGTTTGGCATTCGCCACCTTCGGGGGTCGCAGCACTAGGTGAGCTCACATAAGACCTGTCTAACCGGGCGAGGCCGTAAGTCCAGCCATCAGCTTCGCTGCAGCACTAGGCAATCCTAGTACATTCCAGCAGCTAGCATGGCATGTTGCTCGTCGTGTTCGCCAGCGGGGATTGACCACCCACCGAATATCAGTATGAATATTGGCTCTGCTGCTTACGTGACTTTGCCGCGAAGGTTCTTACCAATCGCTCGCGCACATTCTTTTTTTTTGTCGAAGCGCGTCTGGGTTCCTGAGTGTGCAACCTGGTCGCCGACGTCTCCCCAGGCTACCTCCCTGTTTTTGTTCGTATCACATGAGACAAGGGAGGATGGCCTTTCTCTTCCGATAAGTGTTATCAATACAATCTATTCCCACCTGTCAATGTTAATTTCGAAACCTCGACTCGGCATACACTTGGAATTTCCTTTAGTCATTCTTACAACTGTCCACGAAATCTAGTGTGGCTGATGTCGAGATGATCTTATAGAAATACGGAATGGTTGTTTCGTCATATACCCTGTCGTGGTGTATTGTGGCGTGCGTGATATTTCCTCGCCTTGCTGCCCCTCCATTTTTTACCTCAGTCCCATTCGATGCGGGAGATAAGTCCCCTCCTGACGGGCATCTTTTACGATACTCTTTGAATTCACTGCTAACCTCTTCATTTCAGCTTTAGGTTCTAGACCACCTCCTGTTCCAATGTACTGCTTGTGAGTTCTATAAGCAACTTGATCGATCTTGGTGTTTTCGCATCAGATTTCACTTAGAAAGTGATCCAGTAAGATCGACACTTCAGCATGCACCTTCAGGCTACCAACGGCACGACCGTAAGTACTCGTCTACGTCGGCTTGCCGGCAATATGGTTTTCTACGGCCGTAACCAGAGATCATTTCTCGTGCAATGTACGACTGTAGAAAATCATCAATAGACCATTGATTAACAGTGATTCTGGTGTATTTTACAAAGGGGTAGTATGGCGAGAGCAAAAAAAGCAAAAAGCAAGGAGAACATAAGAGCAAACTTTGACAACTTCGGATAAGATGATCAGACACTATTATTGTAAATTTGAAAGGAGGATCATGCTACATCTTTGGCCTCAGTATACCTTTTGAAAGCATCATATGAGAAGGTCTTTGTATTGCTGGCATTGGCCTGGCCTTGCTGAGGTATTGGGAATGAAGTAGGGTATGATGGAGCAGATACCTGCCCAGTCAGAGGTATAGTTGATGGCTGGATTGCAACAACAAATTCAGGCCAGGGTGCCCATGCCTTTCCAGGGAGGGTAGGAGGTCGATGCAGAGGTTCAAAGCCCAAATCTGCTTGAAGGCTCTGCTCCTCCTTCTTGTCAAGCTTGTCTTCATCAACAAAACAAGACCAGTAGGTCAGATGCTGTTTGGCCTTGTAGGGGGGATGTCTGGATGATCTTGGGTGTCTTGTTCTTGGTTGCACAGTGACTGCAGGTGCAACAATATAACTGGGGAGAATGTCACATGGGAATGATTCCTTTGTATTGGTGGAGGGAGAGGGATGAAATGGAGAAGCCTGCTTTGCAAGTGGGAGAGAAGGTGATTTTGACTGATTGTGTGGATTATCTGACTGCCTACTAAAGTGCACATTATTGACATGATTGTAGAGCTGATCGGGAAGCATAAGGCTGTGGCAACCTGTCAAAAAAAGATTGTTAGACTGTCTCAGATGGATTTGGGGGGGGATTGAGCAATACCTGATACTGGACAAGGCAGGTGTGTCTTCGAAAGATGTGTTTTGGTAATGTGGAGCATCATATCAGTGGCTGAGAGTGCCAAATTCCTATTCATTGTACAGAAGCGGATGCCACACAGTGAATGGTGATGATCCTGATCAGAAATGGCAACATTCATTATATATGTTCACAATAAACTGATGATGAACACATACCTCTTTGCCTTTGGAATTTTTGCAGTGCCAATGATAATGCTGAAAGTCTGGTTAGTTGGATGTGCACAAACTATCCAAACCACCTTACCTTTTGAAGGTTCATCCAACAGTTCAGCAAGGCATCACAGCCACCCCAATCACATCTGTATGGGTGCAGTGCAGTTTTGGCATATGATATGACAGTAGCCTGAGAGAGCTTAGGAGACATTGCAAGTGTATTCTGCATGGCCAAGCAGCCGAGGAGGAGGATGAAAGAAAGTGGATCAAGATGGCCAACTTCCCACGCAGCGTTTTGTGACCACATTACATGGTCACGCGTCTTTGCCATTATGCCAGTATCCTAAGCACGTTACGTGGGTGGATATTTGTTTGACAAGACCTTAGGCTTCATCTCAGGGTTGTTTCATGACACCCAGAGTATTTGGTGCTTGTTGCTGGTAGCTGGTTCCGCCTCAGTCGTGACAAGAACAATGTCAGTGAGTGCCGTTCGCCTATCTAACCCTTCAAACGGCACGTATCTACATCGCGTAGTCGGCATTCACTATGTCCATGTTTACGACGTACGACATGCGACACATGAAAACCAGCCACGGCAAACACATCGCGCCAACTTCACCAACCCCTCAAGCGAAACAAGCATATTCCACAATATTCACATGCAGCTAATGTAAACTCCATCCCAAACGCAAACCAAAAGAGTGTGGGCGGCGCAGCTACCTAGAATCTAAACCTAACATAACGTATATATACAAACTACGAGCGTTTTTCTGCATCACAACAGCCTACGCAGGCTCCCGCGAACTATGCGGATTGGGGCTGCGCGACCGGGGTATACCATCCGCCACGCCCACACCACCGCCGCCCTCTGACGGCTGTGGAATAATCGTCGGCCGTCGTTCCCGCTCGCGTTCCCACGGCGTCGCCGCACTCGTCGGTGTCGGCGGCAGCACGAAGCCGCCCCCAATGGGACTCCACCCATCCTCCACCCGCTCCTCCGCGCGAATCAAGCTCGCAATGCTCGCCGTGTGTTTATGGCTCCGCC